CCACCCTGCCCGCCTCTCTCCCCCCTTTACCTCCGCAGACTCTCGACGCGCCCCAAATTTTTCTCTTCTTTTTGGCCAGCCTTGCATAATGTAAAGGTGCAGGGCACGGCAGCGGCCGACAGGCGATCGCGACACCGATACACGTGGCGTAGAGTAGCGGCGGGCTGCGTATGTGCAGCAGATCCTGTTCCAGTAGGGGGGGGGGGAGAGAGGGAGAGGGAGAGAGAGAGAGAGAGAGAGAGAGAGAGAGAGAGAGAGAGAGAGAGAGAGAGAGAGAGAGAGAGAGCTTGTCGGAGCCTCTCTGACCACCGCCGAGGGGGCCATTTCCTCTAATTATCTTACAAACCCTTTCCCATACTCTTCCCTCAAGACATTGTGAGTGCATGTGTGTGTGTGTAATTGCGTTTCCTTATCTTGTTTATTTCGCTGGGTTTTGGGTTTCGTTCCTCCCGCCCTGGTCTCGCCCTGCGGGTCGGCGGGCTGGGCAGCTCCGCAGCTCCGTAAGCCCGTGTTGTGTCGGCGTGCATGTTGTAGTCGGCTGCTGTGTTGCAGGTTACGCGGGCCCATCCTTCTTTATTACTGCGAGTTACTGCCCCCCCCCCCTCCTCTCCCCTTGTGCCTCTCCTCCCCCTACCTCGTCTTGTCGCACACATGTGTAACAAGAGCAGCAGGTGTAGGAGGAGGAGAAGGAGGAAGAGAAGGAGGACCCGAGGGGTGAAAGTTTTATTCCACCGGCCTATAGGATGAAGTCATCCTACCGGACTGAGCTGCTGAGCTGGGCGCGGAGCGGCGCGGCGCTGTGCGGGCGGGGCGGGCCGCGTCCTTGCCTTGCATCCGAGGACCGCGGCGGCGCGCCAAGGTAAAGGTCGCGGCGGCGCGCGGGCTCCCCAGGGGGCGGGGTCAGGGACCCGTCAGATCCGCCGGCGGGAACCCGCGGGAGGGGGCCGGCCGGGCGCATCAGGCCAAGGACGCGGCGCGACCGGAACAGGCGAGGGGGCACGACCCGACCCCGTCCACGACCCGTCCGTGACGCGTCCGGCCGGACCGCCGTCTACGACCCGCCCACGACCCATCCACTATTCGTCCACGACCATCTACGACTCGTCCACGACCCCCGTCTTCGATCCCCGTCCACGACCAGTCCATTACTCGTCCACGTCCGAATGCGTACGGGTCGGGCCGCGGTGTTGACCGGATGCGCCGTCTCCACCGGACGGCTTTCCATTTCTGTGGAAGGCCCGGGCCCAAAACGTATGAGCGCCGCGATTTTAATCGCACTGTAGGGTGGTATGCGTTCGATCCGGACTCGGCGGAAACGTTCGGCTTTGATGAATGCGAACGGTGTGAAAAATCGTCACGTGACGCTGCATTTTTCTGTTCTATTTCAGAACGAAACGTGAATCAAAAGTCTAGCGTTGCTGCAAAACTGGTATGAGAAGATGCTGTGGGGGTTAGGGCCTTTCGGAATCTAGAGCCTCTCTCGAGTGTATATGGGCGAAAGTGTATCAGGTGAGCTGAGGTGAGCCGAGGATGGGGCGACGACGTCATATCCCGAACAGTAATCGATCTCTACCGCTTGGGGGAGAGATGGGCACACCCGGCTATCTCCGTTGTCTTTCGGGCAACACGGGGGGGGGGGGGGGGGGGGTGTTGAATGTTTGGGGGGGCCGACGGGGCTCGACGCCGCCGTGCGATATTGCGATACGTTCTAGTTTGTAACACAGAAACAATGTTGCCGGCGGTGTCCAACTAACTACCGGGTGCGGTGCGCCGCGAGCAGGAGAGCAGCAGTAGTGTGGCTGATTGGGATGCCAACGCCGTCACCGGGAAACAGCAGGTGGTGGCCGGCGGGCGTGTCACGGCGACCTCAGCGGGTCACAGCCACACCGTCGCGGTGCGTGGTGGGGACGACGTCATTTCGTCGTCCTAGAATTGTCTTGCTTTCGCTTGCTTTGTAAAAAAGTGACGTATCTTGACATTATTTTGCAGGGTGGGGGGACGTTTTTCGAGAGCCAACCGATGGTGCGTATAAAGAAACCCCAATTTTTTTCTGCCTAACCTTTCTTTTCCCTTTGAAACAAATAATTGACGTAAACGAAACATTAACATATTGGAAAATTAACCTCTGGTTCACCCCTTTCGATCTCAGCCTGCTGCTGACCCTACGTGTTCGCGCACTGCACAAACTGCAGCCTACAATGCGTGGCCAGGCGCAGTGCAGCTCGGCGCCGAGGTCGTGCTCTTTTCGCGGTCAACCTATATGGCTATATATATAAGACCACCGGTCATTGCTTTTTCTCGCTAGTCTGTCGCACTGCAGCCAACTAAGCACAACATGAGGGTTCTCACGGTGAGTGGCGTCCAAGTCCAGCTCTGGTAGTTGATCGCGGCGCTAGTACAACTACTGACCCTTCGCGTTTCTTACCATAGGTGTTCGCGACGCTGTGCCTCGCGGCGTCGTGCCTGGCCGCCGACACGCCCAAGGAGAAGCGCGGCCTGGACCACGGCATCGGTCTGGGCTACGGCGGCGGAGGTTACGGTGGTGGCGGCGTCGTCCTGGGCGGGTCGTCCCTCGGCGGCATCGGCCTGGGCTACGGCAGCGGCGTCGCCCTGGGCGGCTCCTCCATTGGCATCGCGTCCTCGGGGCTCGCCCTCGGCGGCGGCGCGATCGGCGTGGGCTCCGGGCTCGTCCAGCAGGCCGTCCCCGTGGCGGTCCAGCAGGCCGTCCCCGTGGCGGTCCAGCAGGCCGTGCCCCACACGGTCACCACGGTGGTGCGACGCGTGCCCGTGTCCGTGCCGCAGCCCTACCCCGTGGTCATCAACCGGCCCGTGCCCGTGTCGGTGCCGCAGCCCTACCCGGTGGCCGTGCCGCGCGCCGTGCCCGTGTCCGTGCCGCAGCCCTACCCCGTGGCGGTGCCCCGCGCCGTGCCCGTGGCGGTGCCCCGTGCCGTGGCCGTGCCCGTCGCCCAGCCGTACGCCGTGCGGGTGCCGCAACCCGTCGCCGTGCCCCAGGCGGTGCCCGTGCCGTACAGCGTGCCCGTCGCTCAGCCCGTGGCCGTGCCGCAGCCCGTGGCCGCCGTCAGACACGTTCCCACGGTGGCCGTTGCTCAGCCTGCCCTCGCATACAGTAGCTCAACTCTTGGTCTCGGCTCTGGCATCGGTGTCAGCTCTGGAATCGGCCTCGGATCCGGCATTGGCTACGGCGGTATCTCCTCCGGCTACGGTGGCATCTCCTCCGGCTACGGCGGCATCTCCTCTGGCTACGGCGGCATCTCCTCTGGCTACGGCGGCATCTCCTCTGGCTACGGCCTCGGCCACGGCCTCGGCATCTCCTCCGGATACGGCCTAGGACACGGCCTCTCACTGGGAGCCAGCAAGGTTGTGTCCTACGGCCACTAGAGTTGATGGAGGTCAAGACATCACTTCTAGTCTCGCGGGCGGCAGAAGAGGGCAGTGCGTAGGGTATGACGTGCATTAGTCCCAACTGAAAAATCACGGGCAGTGAAACCTCCCCATGCACAGTCAGCCTCCTCCATCCACCTGTAAAAAGTAAACATGGCGTGCGTTCGACTTTTGTTTAAACAATCTTGCTTGCCGATGTTTTTCCTCTCCTAGCTTACATGTCAAAATATGAGACTACTGTGAACGGACTGAAAGCCGAAACATTGATTTTTTTTATGCTCGTGAATTAAACCATTGAAGAAGGGTTGTGGACACAAAGTCGAAAAAACAAAAGGTCTATAATTATCCCCCAATCCTCTTCTTTATTGCATTCACCGGTGTATTACATTACTGCCACCACCAACCACTTGGCAATAATTTTCAGTCGATTTCGATGATCAGCACTGTTACGTGTGACTAGACAGTACAAACCCTCTGTGGGCTGCGGAGCGGGGCGGAGCTCAGTGGTGGTGGATCAGGTTTGAGTGTCCACTACTGATCCCTGAGCTCACGCCGTGCCCGCTAACGTCCGCGATGATCCCGCCGTGGCCGATGAGGCCTCCCTGGCCGATGATCCCTCCGTAGCCGCCGTAGCCTCCGTGTGAGACCGCGCTGATGCCGTGCTGCACCGCCACGGCGTAGGGTTGCGCAACGGGCACTGGGACGGGCTGCTGCACCTCCACGGGGACAGGGTGCGGCACAGAGACGGCCACGGGCTGGGGGACCTTCACGGCCACCGGCTGGGCGACGGGTACCGCCACGGCCCTGGGCACCTCCACGGGCACGGCGCGCGGCACGTCGACTGGCACGGGGTGCGGCACGGGCACGGGGACTGCTCTGGGGACGGCCACCGGGTAGGGCTGGGGGACGGACACGGGCACGGGGCGGTTGACGGTGACGGCGTAGGGCTGCGCCACTGCGTACGGCACCACTTGGTTGACGGTGGATACGGTGCGGGTCGGGGCGCTGACGGCCACCTGGCCGAGCCCGACGGAGCCTCCGGCTAATACACCGGCGCCCAGGCCTCCAAGACCATAGCCGCCGCCGAGTCCGTAGCCGCTGAGGCCATAGCCGCTGAGGCCATAGCCGCTGAGGCCGTAGCCGCTGAGGCCGTAGCCGCTGAGGCCGTAGCCGCTGAGGCCGTGGCCGCTGAGGCCGTAGCCGGAAGACAATAGTGCGCCGTGGCCGAGGCTCGACGACAGCAGGGCACCGCCGTGTCCGAGGCCCAGGCTGGAGCCGAGGCTTATGCCGGAGCTGAGGCCGAGGCCGTGGCCGATGCTCGCTGTGGAGATGCCGCGCTTTGCCTTGGGGTGGCCGTACGCGGCCTCCCCCGCGCCGATGGAAGCCATGTGCAGCAGGCACACCACCATCACCTGGAACACCATCATCTATCACTCATCGTCGGCAAGGTGCATTCCTTGGACACATGTGCCGGACCCCCGCGACCTCGTGACTCACTCAGCACGCGCACGGGGGTGTCACCACGGTGTCACAGCAGCGTCAAGATGTGTGGCGGAGGGGGAGGGCGGGGGAGAAAGAGAGAGGGAGAGGGAGAGAGAGAGAGAGAGAGAGAGAGAGAGAGAGAGTGAGGGAGAAAGAGAGTGAGTGAGTGAGGGAGGGAGTGAGTGAGTGAGAGAGTGGGAGGGCAACAAGTCTCCGAGCGTGTAGTTGTGAGCACTCCGTGTGTCATACATAAGGCAGGCTGACCTAGGACAACAAACGACTGTCGCCCTCATTACTTACTTGTCGCTGCCACATTTAGTCGCGATACGGAGCCTGGTGTTGTATAATTAGCCCAGCGTCAGATACTGTGCCGCGGTGACTAGTACTACAGTCGTCTGACTCGACAAGGCTGCTATGATGATGATCGAGTACAATCAGTTTTGATGAAGAAGGTTTTTTTTTTAAAGAGAGGCAAAGATCTTCGACGGAAAGAGGGAGAACAACACTATTAATCCCGTTGGTAGTTTTAGTGATATCTGAACTTCCACCACGTCAGCCACGGACTGGGGGTCTAGGGGCCCAGTCTGGAAACTGCTCCGAGGGGCCCCAAAAGATACCTTTTTTGGCGGCAAGGGGCCCCAAAAGATACCTTTTTCGCCTGGGGCCCGGTCGGGATTTCCCGACTAGCCAACCCGGGCCAGTCCGTGGCTGCACCACGTAGCAAAATTCAAATCCACTAAAAGTTGTAAGTCTCTCTTCCTTCACACCTTTAATTATTCAATTAATATAGATCTATCCATGTGTCTAAAAATAAGCTGTTTAGCCCGGCTCACCCACACAGTACTTTGTGCGGGCTGCACCGACCCAATCTCTAGCCGGCATGGTCAGCAGACGACGCGAAGTACATTCATGCGGGTTGTTTTGGCATGCCAAGGGGTACGAATAACTTACCACCGATTTGCACCGAGCCATTGTGGGGGTCTTGTCGCTCAAGGAGACACTGTGGACGATCCGAAGGACGTCCCAAGCTTTATAGTATACCGGCTCACCCCCTGCCATGGCGCCGTCGCGCTGCTGCCCCTGCCCGGCGCGCCGCCCGCCATATGGACTGGTCTGACACATTAGACAAAACTCGACAAGGAAGTCGGCCCGCCCATCGGGCCGTTGCACTTGCCGTTGTTGCACTTACTGTTGCAAGCGCGCCCGGGCACGCGGCGCACAACCCCATACAAGCTGGTTGGCCGCGCAGCCACGTGCGTTCGAAAGGAGAGATATAGAGGTAAAAAAAGAGGAGAGGACAAAAAAAACAACAGATGAGGACAATGAGCATGGCCAGGCACGTTTCTGGAACAGTTACTGCGATGGCGGGACTGTCGTGTGACGCGAACGCCGCGTCCACTTGGCGTTACTGCGGTTATCTGAGACTATGGGTGGTTACAGTTTCCAAACCCAAAAACTCTTAATAATTTGTCCTGACAGATTTTTTTATTTTGGAATAAGTACTAATGCCCCGCCTTTAAATGTAAGTCAAAATTGATGGCTCCGTTCTTTTTTTATTGGAGAACATGTGCAAGCTTGTGCGTTGTGTAGGTGTGAGCAATAAACGGCATACCGACGGGGAGTACAAAGAGGGACTCAGAGAGGAGCACAGTGGCGCCACAATTAGACAGACCTGCGCTAGAGCCGCGCACGAGTCGGGGGTGAGAGAGAGAGAGAGAGAGAGAGAGAGAGAGAGAGAGAGAGAGAGAGTCGAGGGGTGCAGCGTGCGTAGCCTCAGCACAGTTCGAGTAGATGGCAAATATGAAACCAACTTGAGGTTTTTCTCCCCCTTTACCCTCGTGCGTGACCCGCGACGAATGTGATCGCGGGGTCGGGGTGTCGAATGGTTGTGGTGCGCGGTAGGCAGCAACAAAAGGAGAAGAAAAAAAGGAGTAAATAGAGTAGTAAAACGGGCAGGGCGAGAAGGCGGGCAGACGAACCCCCTAGATGGCGCGCGCTGTGCAGCGACGCCGTGTCGTACGCGTCTCTTGGGATGATTGCTGCAATCTGCTCTCGCCCGATTTTGTGCTCACCTGGTCATCCCTCTCTTTTTCTGTCGCTCTGCCTCCCCCTTTCCCCCCTCCGCCTTTCATAACCCTTCAGAGCTACCTACTGCGAAACGACCCACACAGTTCGACAAAAATGTCAGTGTAGAAAAGAGCAGCCAGCAACTTTAGGTACTACTGCGGGGGGGCGGGGGCGTTTGCGTTTGTGTCAATTTCTATAAATGCAATAATTATTGTCGATTCGAGAAGCGACTGTTGGTTGCTGACTGCTATCGTGTAAGCACCATAGGCCTCTGTGGACACGCCCCCCCCCCCTCCCCCTTTTCCTACTGCACCCCCAGCAGTGCGGCTGCAGCGCTCGCCGTAGAGTGTGGCAGTCGCGGAGACGTCCGCCCGCCTGCCTGTTTGCTGGGGTCCAGGCCCGTCGTGTTCACCGCTGTTGCTCCTATAGCCGGCCCGTATCTCCGTGCGTCGCTCGGCGGAGGTACGGGGGTTTTGCGCGCGCCCCCTTTTGGGAGCAGCGAACTGAGCCGCTCTTTGTGTTTGGCTATGAACTGAGCCTGGAGACCCACCGGTGGTGGTGGTGGTGTCACGTTACGGCACTCGTACATAATGACGCATGTCACGTACTGTGGCGGAGACCAATCGGGGCGCAGCTCATTGTAACAAGCAGCCAATCATGTCCAAGGTCACCCCCTCCGCCCCCCCCCCTCCCCCTTCGCGACACCGGCCGGCTCTCGTTAGGGGCGCGTTTGGTTCTTCTGCGAGGAATGCTCCCCCGCCGCCCGCAACTCTCCGGAAAAGGAATTTCGAGGAGCAGAAAGGAAAAGTGGGGGAGGAAAAAAAAGGAGGCGACGGCGACACTAGGAGAACAATAGATGAGTAAGGTGGAAGATATAGTAAGAGCAGCCCGGTGTGTAGACTAGTTGAACGCTGCTCGAAGTTGCAAATAGTGCGTAGAGGTGGGAAAGTGGTGGAGGGGATGGCAGGTATATACCGCCAGGAATGGTGTCCAACTGTTCAGTTGCCGGCCAGCTCCATAACCATCAACAATGAAGCTTCTGGTGAGCAAAAATACATGTTTGTGAGCTTGAGTTGAAAGTCAACCGAAAACCAGCGGGTGCGCACATAAGTCGGTCCTTTCCATAGTTTTCGGTTCTAAATCTAAATAAAATAACCACTTGATCGATTTTAAAGGTGTAGCCCGGTGTGCGTGTGCACCGTACTGGTCTACACACTGATCATGAGGCGTGTATCCCGTGAGTACAATCTTTGTCGTCCGGTGGCCCCAGCCTTCGTGGACTGTATGCAATCGCCGCTGTGACCTTCGAAGTCTTGTTTATACTTTCTCTCGGAACGGGTTCACCGAGCGCGTCCGTTTTTAAATATGCCAATTAATTGTGAGTAGCAGCTCAAATTAATGTTGGATTTTGGCTCCTCGCTGGGCACGGTGGTATGATCGTCTCGATGACGTCTTGCGCGTCCGTTGCATCGCATGCATTCCTTCCCCTTACGAGATTCGCAACAACAGCTTGTGCCCGAGAGAGAGAAGAGAGAAAGGGAGGAGTTTACCGGCCGACAGTTGGCTTCCGCACAATAGCGCTCCTTGTCAGTCGGCCCAACCTCACAACCGTAACCGTGTGTTTGTCCAGAGAAAGCACAAAAGTCCAATAACGCGTCCAGTAGTTTATGGAAAAACAAAAGTGTATGTTCATTCAAAGCAATAGCGCAATGTCAACTGGTACCGCTAAATTTCAGTTGCATACCGCCAACCACTTTGCTTGTCCTCTTAGTTGGCTTACAACAGTTTCCTGTACATATTGCACTCACACACACGCCCCCCCCCCTCCGGCTCCCCCCGCTCGGTTTTCGTCTTTGACTTTTTTGCCCGGGTCGTGTGCGCTCGGCTGTCTACCTGACCTGCGACGTTACGAAAAGCAAGTTTCGAGCGGAGAATGCCCGTAACGAGACGCGTTACGCAATCGCACACGATCCTCATGTAGACCGAGCTGGTCCGGGCGGCGGTGGTCGGGGCTTCGCTGTTTCTGTATCCCTTTTTTTCGTCCTTATTTTGTCGAGAGGACCAGACTGAGGTTCTTCACTCTGACCTCACGAAGGCAATGCGCCCTCTCGCATGTTGAGCCCGGCGGCGACACCACAGCTCGTGTCGTGAGATGATCGAATAAGATCAATTTTTTTTTTACCGCTCCGCGCGGATGTACGATTCGAACACGCGTTCTTGCGAAAAGAGATCTATGCTTCGCATCTATTCAGAAAGATTTATTGCAGTGTTGTTTTCCGAACTTCCTCTACGGTTTCTTAGGCTGTGTGAAGAACGCTATTTTGAATGTGGTGTCTCCCGTGTCTCCTCCAGTAAACCTATGCTCCTCTTCCAGGTCGTGCTCGCCGTGTTGGCGTTGGCCTCTGCCGACGACAAGCCTGTTAAGAAGACTGAGAAGCGAGGTCTGTCCGGCCTCGGCACATACGGCGCGCTCGGAGGCCTCGGCGTGGGTTCGGCCATTTCACTCCCGGGCCATGGAATCGGCCTCCCCGCACACGGCCTCATCGGCGCCCCTGGCGTCGCCCTAGGAGGACACGGCCTCGCTCTGGGGGGACACGGCCTCGTCGGCGCCCCCGGTCTTGACCTGGGAGGACACGGCCTCGTCGGCGGCCATGGTCTGGTCCTGGGAGGACACGGCATCGGACACCCCATCACCACCTCCATCAACACGGTCATCACCAAGCAGGTGGGGATGGGCCGGGCCGTCTCTGTCGGCGGTCCGCACTGCGGTGTCCGTAAGTGGTTCCTCACTACGTTTCTGTCGACAGGTGGCTGTGCCCGTACCTCATCCAGTGGCGGTGCCCGTCATCAAGCACACCCCGTACGCGGTGCCCGCGCCGTACCCGGTCCCGGTGGACAAGCCGTACCCCGTGGCCGTGCCCAAGCCTTACGCCGTGCCCGTGGACAAGCCGTACGCGGTGCCCGTGGACAAGCCCTACGCCGTGCACGTGCCCCACCCCGTGCCCGTGCACGTCCCCCACCCGGTGGCGGTGCCCGTGTCGCACCCCGTGCCCGTCGCCGTCCCCAAGCCCGTCCCCGTGCCCTACCACGTGCCCTACGTCGCCAAGGAGGTCCACGTCCCGTACGTGGCCAAGACCGTCGTGCCGGTGTCCTCGCACGTCGCCGTCGGCCACGACATCGGCCTCGGCCTCGGGGCGCACGGCAGCTACGGCAGCTACGGCAGCTACGGCGGCTACAGCAGCGGTGGCTACGCCAGCTACGGCCACTGAGTAAGTGCTTACGGAGCCTGGAGAGGAGGGGAGGGGAGTCTTGAAGTTTACTTAGGCCGAGGCGTACACAAGGTCCTGTATAGTGAGTGATTGAGTACATCATCGGGAGCGAATGCGAGGGAGAAGGGGTTTGCTTTCGGCAGAACTAGGTTAAAAGGGGTGTGGATTTCGCAGAGAGAGGGCGCGCAGAGCTGGGAGGCGTTGAGGACTTGAGTGAGCCACTTCTTGTTTGGAAGTTTGTAGCACGCACGTTGGTCCCGGTGGCCGGCGGCGACCTTGCTGCAGGCGCTTACCAGCAACAGCGAGGGTGCGTAAGCTGGAGGCGGATCATTTTGTATGAACCGTCTTTATGAGTATCTTATCTGCCGGGAAGCACACAATGCCTTCTCAATCAGGGAGCAGCGCGGGACTGGGGAGAGCCTAGCGAACGAAAGTTTTCTCTGAGTTTTGGTCTTTAGGCTTAACGAGCTGGGGTGCGGATAGGGACGGGCCCCCTGCCAAATCAGATTGTCTCAAGGGATCTCGATGTCTGTTTGGCGGGGTACCCATTACGCCCAAACCGACTCTTGGGGTATTAGTTTTATACTCCATTTGCATTTTCTCGCTAACTGTTCAACTACTATCGTGCCCCTTCTTTTGCAGAGAGCTGTGCCGAAAACTCTGGGTCTCCTACTCTCTCATCCAACTCATCACCATCACTCATCACCATTCTCAACCAAAATAAATCATGCTAGTTCGTTGACCCAAACGCCCTGTTGTTTCAATCGTGACCCAACTCAGTCTGGCACAGGTTAGTCACTTTTTACGTGAAGCAGCTTAATCTAGCCCTCTACTTTTTTGCTGTTCGGGTTAGCATGTCGTCCATTTGGGAACGAGTAATGGTCAGTGAGTGGGTCGATCGAGTCGTATCGAAATGTGTCACTGACCCCTGCCCCATGCCTCCCCTACCCGAGCCACCCACCTATTATCTGGTTTATCCGAGCGATTGAGGACAGTACCGTCACACAGAGTTCATGTGAAGAAAATTAGATGTTCCTTTTTTATGCCCTGGATATCCAGTTTAGAGGAACGATTCTACAAACGTCGGAAAACATGTTACACTGTTCCAATTGCAGGTCGCTTGGTCGCTTCGTTAACAGTGCGACTGCCCTGTCCGATGTATACAGAGCACTATACGGTGATCTTTAAAAAATTATGTCAACATTTTGTTGTTGCACTCAAACAAATGCAATGTTTATTTGTATCCTGCACCACGAGCGGGGTGTATAATGGTTGCCTCAGGTTCAAGCTGCTGCAACCCTCGTTGCTAGAATTCCGAAACACCGAGGACACAAATCATTTATCGATTTTAAAAGGCTACCATCCAGCAGCACCTGTTTGGAAAAAATACAAAATCTGTAAAATGACCTAATCCGTGCCATCACAACACAAAGCGCGGCACGCCCCCCTGCCCCGTGCGGGCCGGTGTCGGGTCGGGTGAGCGCAGTCGATATGGGGCCCCCGGGCCGCACCGGCATGGGGGCGACCCGTCGTAGTCTCCCGGCGACCGTCACACGAACAGCAAGCAGCATAAGCAGCTCCACGCCCGCTGCCGCCGCCGGTGCGCGATGACACTGAGGAGACAGCCAGGTGGGCCGGCGCACCAAACACCTCTCTGAAATTTGTATTGCAATATAATGCCTCCGCTCAAGATGAACTTGAGGGAAGTGAGTGGGGGGAGGGCACATCATGGCTTTCCGGTAATGACAGTATTTGGGGCCTGTTTAGATACCCAGTCACCAGTCATGTACCTGTCATATCGGAGCGGACGCCGTAGTAATACTGCGGCTTTGACTTTGCATACCCACTCGGAAGTAGACAAACCCACAACACTGTGGTGTCCACTCGGATATACACCTTGTAATTTTACACTTAAAATTTTTATTATAGTAGAATTCAGTTTAGTCGCACTAGTTGTAAATCGTTTCGTACGCTGTTTTGAAACTAAATTTTGCCACTGTGTTTCTCAAACCGTCACTATTACATGTATTCAAAGATAGTTTGGGGGTGGGGGCTTTTCCTTCCTCCTGCTTCTGAAGACAATAATAAACTAAAACGCGAACAAGAACGCGCGCTACAATCACATTCACAATAATGAGAGTGTGAAGGGCGAAAGTGTTGGCCTGTTTTATCAGTTCTATGCGTTGTCCAAACAAGTAGTAGTGGCAATTAAACGGAAGTCGTACCCTGGCTTTCGTGGGAAGAGAGGAAGGGGGAAGAAGGGGGGCAGGATATCGGCCTGGAAAGGAAGTTTACCGGCTGAGCGGTCGGTAATTGGGGCGAGGCTGGCGGCCGGGGCGCTGGCCGGTGGCGTGTGTGACGATAATACCGCACGATGAATTAATAAGGGGATGGCCCTCAGAGAGAGAGAGAGAGAGAGAGAGAGAGAGAGAGAGAGAGAGACAGACAGACAGACAGACAGACAGACAGAAGAACAGAATATGCGCTGAGAGGTGGGCCCTGCTGGAAGTGTCAGGGGGTTTGGTCTTCCCTTCCCTTCGGTGAGTATGAAGTCGTGCCCCTCCTGTTCCCTGCCCGGTCGGATGCTCCTTCACAACTCAAAAAGCCGATTTTCCCCCGGAACACAAAGCTATTATATACAGACAGCAGGAAACGGCACAGACTTTGCAGCCAACGCTATCTGCAGTGGGGGCGGCTTTTCACGAGCTGTGAAAGTAAGGGAGTATAGAAATCGATGCTCAGTAGTTCACCCCCCGCTCCCTGAAAAATAATTTGAAAAACAACATTAATGCATATCTTTTCGTCGAATCAAAATAAGGGCGTATACTCTCCTCTCTTCGCCTCTACTCTCTTCGGTTTCAATCTCCCTAATAGGCGAGCGTCTCACCGAAGCCTGGTGGCCGGGGGGGCTTCGTTCGGGCGCCGTGGGCGGGCCACCGACTCCACACAGCTGCTTGGCGGGCTGGCCTACCCCGCGCGCAACGGGCGCTATCACGAGCGTCGCCTTCTCAAACTACCCAGTGAGCAATGAGCTGTCAGACCGTCAGAACGATATCAGAAATCAGAAACGAGTCAATTTCAGTACCTCATTTTTATCAATCTGATGCGAAAACCGACAATTTTCTGATTTCTGACGTCGGTCTGACATTTCATTGCTCACTTGGTAGGGGCGTCCGTTGTTGAGACATACATCTGGACCGTCCCGATGCAGTGCCCTGCCCACTCGACATAGTAACCCTGCCATATTGACGGTCGATTACTCAAATTGTAAAATTACGAAATTATTCTTCTATCCGTATCGACTTTGACATCGACGAGCACCGGGCAAAGAATCAGCTATCGTAAATTTTCGATTGCTTCACGTACATCTACAAACGTTGCGTTTCAACAAGAGAGTATGAAAAAAATTACGAAACGCTCACTTTACAGTGTGCGTTGTTTGTCAAGAGTGTTCCAGTAGTGGCGGGGTGGTGCGGTATACACGCGGCGTCACACGTACTCTCTGCTCTGCGGAGCACCGCTGCGGCCGCACATTGTGATGTTTGGGTGGCGGGTGGCAGAGCGCGCCGCGCTCTCGTCGCAGACAAACCGAAGCGACGGCGGCGAATGCAAACAGATCGATGTGGTTGGAAGCCAGGCTGTTAAAGCGAGGGAGGCGCCCGCCGCCCGTGGTGGGCCCGGCGGGGGTGCGGGCCGCAGTCATAGCAAGTCTGGGTGGGCGGTGTCTTCCGCGACCTGCTGTACAGCGCGGTGCAGCATGGTCGCGGTGCCGGCTTGTCCCGCCGCGAGGCGCTGCCGGCACGCGAACAGGTGCGTGCCGGCCGGGGGTCGGCCGGGGGGTG